AAATATGGCAATTTTTTTTATTGCCCATTTTTCTTTTTTTCCACACTCGCATCAGTTTTGGGGTGTCCAGAGAGGATGTCATCCGCACAATCAAGTCAGTGTGGCCTCATGCCAACAACAGAGGTCTACTTGGCCAAACGGCCTGTTACAAGAAACTGTGGTGGTGTTACTAGATAAATGATGTTCAGCTGTTTGGCCAAACCAGCGATAAAATCAAGCCCTGTTGTCTAATCATTTCTGATAGTCCTCTATAAATATTGCAGCCTGGACAGACGTCCTATCCATTATCCTCGTGTTACGACACTCCCAGGGCTGGCTCTTATAGATCCAACAAAAGACAAAATCGCCTGACAAGAGCCTGGTGATCTGGCAACGCTAATGGAAAAGGCCATCGCACCAACACGAAAGCTCGCGCACAGAAAGGTCTGTAAATGGAAGTGACTGGGGGAAATGCCAGCGGGGGCATGTGTGCTGATTGAAGTGACCGTGTGTTATTAAACTCTGAGCTGTGATATATAGCTTCATTAGCTCGGGTTAATTTTGGCACAGTATACTATATTATGGTAGGGTTACAACAAAGGCTACCACGGTTTGAAAAATTGAAGGAAAAACACAAGTACATTTCATTAGAGCATACATGGATATGGATTAGCTAGTTAGATGTTAAAATCCTTCTAGCACCTTTGGGTATATAAGGCGGTGCTCATCTCCATTTCTAGACTATAGCCCTCGGACCACACAGTTGGCTAGTTCAGTGGTAATGGCTATTATCATATTACTGCGTATGCTAAGCAGTAGGTACATCAGTCTAAAAAATGGTATCATGAACTAGCCAGGGGTCGAACCCTCAACTTTTCGAATTCAAATTAGTATAACATAACTCACAGTACATGAACATTAAAAACGCTGTATCATGTACATGTATTTTATAGCATATCATGATGTTATCTCCAGTATCACCCCTGCCTGCACCATGACCTGGCACCTGCCATGTTGTCTGTTCCTGTTCCCTGTCACTCACAAGTAAGCAAACAGTGAGTACACTGATGAGGCCTAGGAATAAAATGTTGCATTTCCTGTTTCCCCGAACCACCTTAGGAAAACCTACCGACCCTAGACTTTTTGGGGGGTGGACCCCCGCAGTACTGTTTCAAACATGACAATCTCCTTTCTACTTCTACCACGATATTAAATCCACACAAAAATAAATGAATTTACAGTATCACAATCACATGCTGGCACATGTCTGTTCTTGGCACTCTACCAGTTTTAATTTTCTCAGTAATGGACATTGGGGGAGGAAAATGGCTTCTCTTACGATACATAAACCACTGACCATTACAGGTTACTTACAAGTTGTCAGCAATTCCCACCTATAAAAATGAATCCCACCTATAGGGTATAGGTGATAATGCACATTGTTCTTCTAAACTCACATCACAATAGGTTAAAAATAACATGCATAATTCTAACTATCAATCATTTAGTTTGAACAACTGTCAGTGTAGTTTTCATTGATCCACTCCTATTAAACTAACACTGACAAATTTTTTGGTCTGTTATTTTAGAAAACTTCTTGTTCTGCATAATCACAATATTTGTATTTCAGTATTGACATATATATTGGCTATAAATAAATATAGTTCTTTATAATTATATCATTGTCTGTATTTCTTCCTAGCACTGTTTTTATCTTCACAATGGTGTCCCATCGAACATGTGCTGTTCTAATAGCTTTGTTGTGTGTTTTGGTCCCTTTGAGCATGACTAAACATCCTACTCTGTCCCATTCAGTTTATGTGCTCAACAATACGTGTGTAATATTGTCTGAAGCCTTGTACTACTTGTAACGATAGTACCTGAATAAGTCATGTATTAACCAATGTAATGTTTTATCAACTTCCCTTTTTGAAAGAGAGTCTCCACCATAGATGAGGTGATTCATTCAAATGCATTACAAGTTACAACAGTAAGCAACATACAATAATCTTTTAGCCTGAATGCCCCCCTCCCACCCTATAAAACTACAAGAGAAGCTTCTATGATTAACAGTGCAGTTAATTCACTCAGGTGTCCAGTACACAGTGGTTCTTATATTTAAACCCCATTGAAACAGTAAGGTTCACTGACTATGAGGAGTAGTGGGTTGGATTACTACTTAAACATTATCCTGTGTACTGGTAAGATTACATAGAAATCTTTAGTTTTACATTGAATGTGACTGTAGTACCAGGGCTGGATGCATATGTAAATGTCAAGTACATTGTATTTTGTGACTGAAATCTAGCCATCCCTACCACAAAAAAGAAAACTTATTCTAAGTTAACAAGGGAAAACATTGAAATCGGTGAGTCCCATCTTTGATTTGAGATACGCCAGCCAGTGTAGGTGGTTCTTTGCATTAAAATACCAAAAGTTCCAATAAACATTCTTCTCCTATGTCTGTCAATTCATTGCTGAAAATAACACATTACTGTGTCCAAATGTTCAAGTATAGGTACCAGTTCAGAATTGTGCTAAACTACTAACACCAGTTTATGGAAGAAAATGTTTGCAGAGATATCGTCATCAACGACCGTTGAAGTGGACTCAAACGCGTGGGTTGGCTCGGACGGGTAGAGCACTCGAAATTCGCCAAGCCACAGGGCGAGCGTACGACACGGGAACAAAACAGCTCTTGTGGCCCACTCCATCCGGACACTTGTGACCAACTTGTGATTTACTGAAATGGGGACCTGACCATATGAGAGACAGCCTGATGTGGGACATGTGATATGGCAGCTGGGGTTGTCAGGGTGCTATATCCCTGCAGGCACAAACAATGGGACAACTATACTCACTATTCACTATAAATTAATAAAAGTAGCATAATAATTTTAAAAAACAGAAGCATTGTGGTATTCCTGTTTCTAAAATTTATACACGTTTTGTTATTTCAGTAAAATGAACAGTGGTTTGACATCACAGTCAACTAACCCTAATAACTGGCATTTTCACAAATCCAGTATACCTAAGCGTGATACTAGACAGTGTATTGTACTGTAAAAGCCTCCACCCTTAATAATCGTCATTAAATCAAATCAAAAACCTTAATAAACCCTAATAATGATATTCATTAAGTGATACCTCAGTAAATCCTAATAACTGATAATAACAGATATGAAGTCAACTAGAACCATTTTCATACTCATAGCTGAATCTATACGGCAAAGGTATTATTTTCTATGATGATTTTAGTATAGGTCTCTTACTACTTGGATTTCAAGTTTTACCTTTGCATTATTTGGCTGCTATGTTCTTTTCCTAAGTTTTAGTGTATCTATGTGTCAATTTGTCGGTAAATGAATTTATAACATATGAATAACCTGCAGAACCTATAAATATGCGAGAAACGATACAGGGGACCAGTAGTTTTGTTTGTCCCCTGAAACCTACCCGGCTCTGGGTAGAGTTTACAGTAAATACTCCAAATCCTTCATGTCCCCCTCCCTGAGACTATCCCCAAACAGTTATCCTTACAACATTTCTTTGCACAATTGTACACTGCGGAGCCAAAAATTCCAAGAACTGACACAGTAGGCACTGTCTCAAGCTTTATCGAGTTAGCGTGGCTGTACCCTTGGATGTGACCATGTTTAGGCAAAAGCCAAACATACGGCACACATGTACGTCTGGAGCTGAAGAGTTTCCTGTGTGATATAATCTAGTGCTGCTGGTGGGGAAGTGTTCCGCGGCCCTGTATTATCAAGTATGGACATGCTGTAATTTAGGAGGGTGGCATGTGGAAAGACGATCCTTTCTATTGCTGCGAGTACTGTAAATCGTTTTATCTGTGAGTGGACTTAATTTTGTAGCTAGTATGAGGGGATAAGAGGTGATTATTATTAAGTTCAAGGCTGAAACTACTGTATAAAGTTAGCTCAGTACAAGTCAGTTTACATGTTGGCAGTGTGAGAGCTCACTGAAGAAACTACAACTACTACAACTATTTCATGATTTACAGTAAGCATACTACACTGCTCCATGCTAGGAAAACTGGTCATTGAGTGATCATGGTGGCAGCCTATTATGTCCCCAAGAATTTGGCCAAGCATACCTGGTTGCCCCTATCCTCAATAACTTAGGCTGTGTTGGCAGGGATTTGACAACCCCCTACATGCCATATTACACGGTATTCTATTCTAGATTTTCCTCCGAATCACTGAACTACAGTCCCTTCCACAGCATCTGAACTGGAGGCAGGGGATTCAAACCCATGACCTCTGTGCTCTCAACGTGTAAGCTGTATATGCAAAATTTACAGCGACATTACATGTTCTCCTCCCAGCAACTGCAATGTTTTTATTTCCTTTTGCAAACCAGAAGAGTGAGTAACACGAATGAATGTTTTGCTATCTGCGTACATAGGAATGTGGTTGAATCTAGTGATAGCAACGTTGAAGACCACATTGTGTAACTTGTCATACAGTCTGGAACACATCGGTACAATCGTGGCTCTTCCACAGCCGAATGGCATTCCTCTCTCCCTTTTTCCTGCTATTATAAAAATCCTTGGGATGTGTATATCTTCACCCCCAGCCCACGCACTAAATGCACAGATGTCGAAACAAGTACTGCACCAAACCTCTGACATTTGGGACATGGCAGGACCAAAATGTATGGCCTAACTCTAAAGAACTCCTGCCAAGTGCACAGCATGCACAGTTAAAATGATGTTTCACAGGACTAGGCAACAATTTCAACTAGGGGACACCAAAAACAGAATGATCTGAATAATTTTTTATAATATCTTTTCACGACAATTCAGGGCAACACCTATAACCTACTTACAAGTCGTATTTGTTTTAGCCAATGTTGTTTGAAGTGTGCAATGTTGGGAAACACCCATCATGACGTCATGTGCAGAAAAATAAAGAAACTCGAATTTTCCTGCGAATTATGATAATCATCATGAGATCAGGAGTTATTTTTTCCCGTCTGTGACTAAAAACATTACTCACCAGTTAGGTCTGCGGACTCGGAGGCCGACTGTGACACGACTATATGGGCGTTCAGTTCCTGCAACTGTTCGTGTAGTTCTTGTATCTTTTTGTTGGACTTTTTGACGATACTGTCCACGTTGGCCAGGCTCTTCTTGTCGGTGGTGACTTTCCTGACTTTCTCGGCGCCCTCCTTGATTTTGTACTCCTTCTTGATGTCGTTTTTGATGTGTTCTCTGAGGTACTCCAGTTTCTGTTGGATGTCGCTGTCTGAAACGTCCTGCATGCCGTACCTCTGGCCGAGGTGATTGACAAAATGGCTCGCCGGGTCGCTCTGAAACGATCCAAATAAACCCAGCAGTTAAACCCAATCGTATACCCCCGAAATAACAATAAATCGGAGTTGTTTGGGAGTAGAAAAGTGGTCAAACTTGAAGTTGTCTGCGTCTTACCTGGAAGTGTGTTGGCTCGGCCGCCATGTTTGAAAGTCGACTTGATCTCGACGGCGCCCCCGCGGAAACTCCACCCTTTTGTCGGCGACGCCGAGCAACAGTCCCCGTAAATCCGAATCGTCGACCTCTGGATACTACTCCTACTTAGTCAGTTTGATGGTGTGCCAACTGAACACCCCAAAGAGGAAGAATATTCACTTCTCTCGCGGTCTCTCCCCTGCCTTCAAAACCGTCATGAGAAATTTGTATTAGTGTGGCATCACGTGACTATGGGTGGTGGTGCTGACCAATTAGGAAGTTCGGCTTTCCGGTGAGTCAGCGACACCAGAGATTCAGTTAGCCGTCGTCTCATTGGTCGAATCTTTCTTTCTTTCCTGCAAAGTTTTCAATTTCATGGGTCCATTTTCGCTATTTTGTAACGTTATACCCAGGTAGGGTCGACGACCTGTGCTGTGGACAAAGGGGATAAGTGTCCTACAGAAT